GGTTTTTTCAAAGGCCAATGAATTTCGTTTTAGTAATTTTTTAAAAAAGAATTGTAACCACCTCTATTAAATAAAATAAAGTCAGTTGAAAGCGGAAAAAACTGCTTGTCTTGATTGTGTAGGGAAAGGGATTGACTTAAAAGGGATAGATTAATTTCATTTTTCCAAAAGGATTTTGAAAACTACTTAACTTTTCGGGAGCAGTAACTCATAAAATAGTACTAGACAAAATGATCAGGGCCGTACCATTCTTGAGCACACTGGAACCAGCCGATTAGTTTAAACTGTAGTTTCTGAAGTCCAATTAACAATTCAAGTTCGAGACCTTTGACTTTAAAAATCAAGTTTTGGGCAAATTTAAGATTGATTATTTTTAGCTAAAACCTTGAGTTTAGGCTTCGTTTAAGTATGGTTTTATATTACGCTCCTGCTTAAACTAAACGTTTCAAGCACATTTAAGCTTCATTTAAAGCAACCAAAACAAGGCGTTTCACACAATTAATCAGCTGATTAAACCTACCTTAAACTTTAGCCTTAAAGCTGCTTTAAGCTGGGTTTACGTTAAATTAAAATTTGGGTTTAAGGAACTTAAACGTCCACTTAAACTTATTAAACCCAAGTTTAAGACAAGATTAATTCGTGTTTAAGAACACTTAAATTTTATTTTTCTTCTTGTGAAAGGAAGCATATTGCAATAGAATTGCACAACACATTAGGATATTTCCAAACTGACAGAAACCAAGACAAATAGAGGAAGGGGGAGAAGTGTCGTACTACTACTACTACCAACTACCAAAAAGAACAGCGCAAACAATAATATTTCACTCTATGCCTGGCTTAAGGCGGGGGTTGGAGGGGGAGGGGAGAGTTAAAGTTACCAAGATGATAAAGGTATTTCCCTTTTGTTTTGAAATTTTTCATTAGGGGATTTCTTTGGCGATAGCAAAATTTAGCAAATTTTATATATATATGGACGCTTTGTGACTGTCAGATGAGAAAAGATAAATTCGGCAGATGGTACGATGAATAAACGAACCACAGACAGTTACTTTCCATTTTTTTCGCGTGCCATATCATTTAATCCTTCACAAAAAAAAATAAAAAATTAGGGCTTGGAAATTTGGTTTGGGGGGCGGTGGGGGGGGGGGTTAGGGTTAGGGTTAGGGGGGGTTTCGGTCCTGGCATTTTTTTGGTTTCGTCGGGAATCCGAGAATTCTGTGATGGAAAAACTGCATTGGAAAAAAATTGTGATTGCTCATTCAATGGCATACCTATAATTTGTAGGTTAGAGATGGAAATAATCGCTGTATGTCATGTTTACGTAACGCAATCGAGTCTTAACGTGACACGTGTCATGTCGAGCGAGCGGGAATTTCGCAGTGGTTTATCTCAGTTTCATTGCACAAATGAAGTCAAACAAGGACACAAGGTACAAAAAATAAATTGTAGCCCTGATTATATACTAGAAAGATAGATATTTGGTGTAGATTTTGAAAACTTCGCTGTTTCGAGATCGGAACTTGACCCAAATGTTTATATTGGCGAGGCGGGTTCAAAGAATGCACCTCAAGGCCAGGATAAGAGTTCTTCATTCACAGCTGACAAAATGGTATGAAACGTTCCACGTAATGTATATGAAGCATCTATGTATCACTGTGAGAATTGAGATTGCTTAAATTAAATATATTTTGGCTGAAACATTTGTTGGAGGATTGATTTGTGTCGCGCCAAACCTCTTATTTGTCAGGTCAGAAAGGTCAAATTATACTTAGAAGCTCCGTGAACTTTGCGTTCTCAAAAATTCATTTCATATGTTGCCCAGAGTTTTGAAAGCATATTTTGAATGCTTAGAGATTGCTTTTTGACGTGGAATGTCTTTTTCTGTTTGAAATCATGTATCGGATGTGTTTTTAGGCCTTTGAAATTTGACAATATTTTGCTCGCGTAACATCCTGAAAATTTTGTAAATATTTAAAAATGTTCACTATGGGTAATGTCGACCGAGATATCGGTCGATATAGCGGTCGACAGTCGGTCGACAGTCGGTCGA